GACGGGGTGAAGAGCTGTTGGACGATTACTTTGTCCATAACAGTGAATTTCCTGATACGTACTTCAGACGTCGTTTTAGAATGGAACGACATTTGTTCAACAGAATCATGACTGATGTTTGCAACCATGATTCTTACTTTGTGCAAAAGAAGGATGCTTGTGGTGTTATGGGTCTCATGCCTGAGCAAAAAATCAATGCTGCATTACGGATGCTTGCGTATGGAGCATCTGCAGACCAAGTGGATGAGATAACGAGGATGGGGAAATCAACCATTCTTGAGGCCCTGATGAGGTTTTGCGGAGTAGTCGAATCTTTGTACACCGCAGAGTACCTCCGAAAACCTACTCACATGGACTTGCAAAGGCTTCTGAAGAGGGGCGAGATGCGAGGTTTTCCTAGGATGGTAGGAAGCATCGATTGTATGCACTGGACGTGGAAAAACTGTCCAAGTGCATGGCAAGGCGCATATGGGGACAGAAAAGGATCAAAATCTATCATTTTGGAGGCAGTGGCATCTTTTGATACATGGATATGGCACGCCTTTTTCGGGGTTCCGGGGGCTTAAAATGATCTCAACGTCCTTGCCCAATCCCCAGTGTTCAACGACGTCCTGCAAGGAAAGGCACCAAAAGTCACGTATGTCGTCAACAGGCGTGGGTACGACGGGGCATACTACCTAGCTGACGGCATTTACCCACGGTGGGAAACATTTGTCAAAACAGTGCCACATCCGCGAAGTGCAAAGGAAAAACACTTTGCAAGCTGTCAAGAGGGGTGCAGGAAGGATGTGGAGCGTTGTTTTGGTATCCTTCAAGCTCGTTGGGCGATCGTCAGGGGTGCTGCCAGAATGTTCGATGTAGAGTCACTTCGATCCATCATGATGACGTGCATCATTCTTCACAACATGATTGTGGAAGATGAGTTCGATTATGATGCGGTTGATGAATATGAGCCAAAGCCAGACACGATGAACAATTCAAGAACACGGATATATTGTGTGTATGATGCCACCGAAGAACCTGTGCAACACGAGCCATTAGAAAGGGATGGACGTTACAATGAAAGGGTCATTCAACGATATACTGCACTTCAAATGTCATCTATGCACAACGATCGGCAAATTGACTTGATAGAGCACCAGTGGGCATTGAAACAAGCTGAAGAGACTTAAGTTTATTTAGTATGTTTGTTTGTATTTGGTGTGTTTATGTAATTTTATTTGATGTGTTTTTTGTAGTGAGTTTTTTATTATTTCGTATGTTTATGTAATTTTATTTGGTGTGAATTATTTGGTATGTTTATGTAATTTTATTTGGTGTGTTTTTTGTAGTGAGTTTTTTATTATTTCGTATGTTTATGTAATTTTATTTGGTGTGTTTATGTAATTCCAATTGGTGAGTTTTTTAGTTTTATTTGGTGTGTTTTATAATTTCATTATACGTGAACAATTTGATGAATAAAGATTCTATTATTAGGATAAATATATTACGAAATTAAATGGTACTCTCACTTTTAATAAAGTACTAACTTCAATAAAATGGAAACAACATAAATAATAAATTACATAAGTACCCTATTCCGATTACATGGAAACAACATAAATAATAAATTACAACCTAAAGTGATTGGAAAACTATGGGCTCCGATTACAAAAGTACCCTATTCCTCACCACTTAACCAATCTGTGGTGCTAGGATCATATTGTCTTGTTGTGCTAGGGCCATCTTGTCTTGATCTCGCTTCTCTTGCACGCCTCCTTTGCACCACATCCGCTTTCTCCGACTGCCAAAAATATTTAGAAGTTGGAGACATCCTTTCTAAACGCGTGTTCATAATGTCACGATCTCGTTGTGCAATTCTTTTTTCTCTAAGCAACTCCCTTTCTTGCCTAAGTAGCTCTCTTTCCCTCTGTTCAGCTTGAAATACTTGTTGAATAGCTACAGCTTTTACCTCATCTCTAGCCTTATCAGCCTCATATTTCACCAATTCCCGCGCCAATGTCAATTCACCTTGACGAGCAAGTTCTTGCATGTACTTTCCATAATCATTCTTGGAAGCACTCCCTTTCCTCTTTGAAGCCTTCTTACCTTGAGGCCTAATTGGATAACGGGTCGACCCCGACGCTTGTTCTGGAATGGGCGTTTCAGGCACTTCTTCTCCATCTTCTTCATCAACATGGGAGCCATGTCGGGTGTAGAGTGTGGAGGGGTGCTGTGTACAAAGGTGCTGTGTAGAGGGATGATGTTCATGCATACTTCTGGACCAACATGCATAACTTTGAATTTAGGACAATCTTTAACAATATTCCAACATTCCCACCGGGTGAATGATTTGTTTCTTGATTTGATTTTGGCAGCATACCATGCTTGTGCTTGAAGTTGCTACAAATAATAATATTGAAATTATTAGGTAACAAATAAATAATACAAACAAATAATAATAATAATGAAATCATTAGGTAACAAATAAATAATACAAACAAATAATAATAATGAAATTAGGTCACAAATAAATAATACAAACAAATAATAATAATAAAATTAGGTCACAAATAAATAATACAAACAAATAATAATAATAAAATTAGGTCACAAATAAATAATACAAACAAATAAATATAATAATGAAATTAGGTAACAAATAAATAATACAAATAAATAATAATAATGAAATTATTAGGTAACAAATAAATAATACAAACAAATAATAATAATGAAATTATTAGGTAACAAATAAATAATACAAACAAATAATAATAATGAAATTAGGTCACAAATAAATAATGCAAACAAATAATAATAATAATGAAATTAGGTAACAAATAAATAATACAAACAAATAATTATAATCAAATTAGGTAACAAAATAATAATACAAACAAATAATTATAATATATTCTTACCTCATCCGCATAATTTGCCCCACTTCGAACATTACTACTAGCTTGTGTCAATGCATCTCTCCACGTACTAAAGGAATGACTAAGTATTTTCCAACGACTGGACATCGATTCTTTGGTTCTTTTCCCACTCATTTGCTCAAGAAATTTGGTATGAATTAAACTCCACATTTCTCGCAACTGCATCTCATTACCCGTAAGAGAATTATGAGTAACTTCAACCCATCTAGTGCACAACGCAACATCTTCAAGAAGCGACCAATTCGTACCTGCATCAGTAGTCATTTTGTGGAAAAAAAATTGGATTGAAACTTTGAGAGAAAGATATGAATTTGATTGAAAGTAGTTGAGAAAATATGAAATTGTGGTGTAAGGTAGATAGAGAAGAAGTGGTATTTATAGAAAAGTAAAAACAATTTTTTACAAAAAAATTTCAGATTTTTTACAATTTTTTCGGATTTTTTCCATTTTTTTTAATTTTTATTCAAATAATTAATCTCTGCCGTTGGATTTAAAAAATTTTGAATTCCAACACTCCAGATTGTGCCACGTGTCACAACGGTAACTTTCCTTAATTTTAAAACTATTTTTTCTTTATTTATAGCATATTAATATCGACCGTTGATTTCAGATCGAACATTTGATATTAAATAAGATATTTTTTTTTTACTGTTGAGATCCAACGGTCCAAATGAAGGAGTCGTTGAGATCGAACGGACCGTGGGAAGCCACGTGGCTTCCTAACGGTAACTGAGACCTTCTGAAAAGCGGACTGCTTTTCTGAAAAGTTGTCGGGCGACGCGCCTCCACGTGCGAGTGGGGTGCACGTGCCTGACAGAAAAAAATAAAAAAAAGGCTGGGAGCTCGGGCTGCCAGGCTGTCACAAATTGACAGGCCTCTTGCTCGGGCCTTCTCCACGAGCTCGGGCTCTTCATGGCTGGAGCTGATTGACAGGCCCTCGGGCCCTTTCTTCTCCCCTGTCCCCCGGCCTACATGCAAGGCTGGACTTGCTCTTAATATCATTGTATTTGAAAATAAAATAAGACTTGGTTGTTAAAGACATCTTTGGGATTTATTCCATTAGGGGTACAAGTGCTTTTTTTTTTTTTTTTTTTTTTACGATTAAAAATCAATTTTTCTTTACTGCTAAGTGTTTTAGGTTCAATTATCACCAAAAGTAGAACCACATTATTGATAGTCCATTGTGAGGCTTAATCAATTTCCTTACTCTCCTAATGTAAATAATATCATTTGTTAAAAAAAATCATTTTTTACTAAGTTTGCCAAAAAATTTAAGAAGCACTTTTGGGTTATAGAATAACCTGCTATGTGCTTCTTTAGGATGCACTACTAAGTGCTTTTTACAGAAGCAATCTCAAAAGAGACCTAAATTTATTAACCATTTTGATTAAAATCGAACTTTCCATTCAAAATATGTCTAATTTCGCCAATGCGTGTGCATATAGAAGAGTAAAATGTCCTTTAATTTGACCCTTAAATCAAGTCTAAAAGGAAATTTTCGCCGTTACAAGTGGAAGCACACATAGGGTTGAATGAAAATTTTGATCGAATGCCTAATGTTTGGTTTGTGCTGATATTGGTAACAAACTTAATCACAATGGTATTATTAAGAGTTGTTATCTAACTATAAAATTTGACTTATGTTCATTGGTGGTTGATTGGTATAGTTTGGCAAATTGTCCCCGTATATAACTGAAAGTTTGATAAATTAATGACATGGATGATATGGATATGTTAAGCCAAATGTGGAGGACAATATTGGTGAATTTCCAATTGTGAAGAGGGACAAAAGCAAGAAGTCCGGCGAACATTAGGAACATTATATGAATAAACAAAAAAAGAATATATTGTTCCGGTCAAGATTTTAAAAGACACTAAACTTGAACGGTGAGTTGGAACCTAACGCCTAAGCTCCTAGATGAGGACTTAGGTGGCCTAGATGAATATAAATAAATTGATTATTTATCACATAAATAAATGTCTATTTATACTAAAAATATGAGTATAGAAAACCCTAACTAATGCTAACTAGCAGCCGTCCCCTCATCCACCTCTACAATTGCAAATCTCTAACTCCTCTCTCTCTCTCTCTCTCTCTCTCTCTCTCTCTCCCCCCTCATAGATCTTCCATTCTCGTCAACTCCTCTTTTAGCACCGAGAGGGAGGCCGACGAGACGCGGAGAAGTTTCTTTCTTTGTGAGTCGCCAGTATCACGACAGGGCTTTTTGTTTTTTCCACATCGCCGAGGCCGCCTAACCCGCCCAGATGTGTGTCTGACGCCGCTCAATGGTGTTCCTGACTTAATACACGATATTGGATTAATCCCGCTTTTAAGAACGCTGGTTCCGGGATCGAACTGAAAGTTTGACAAATTGACGACATGGTTGACATTGATATGTTGAGCCAAATGTGGACGACGATATTGGTCAATTTTCAATTGTGAGAGACAAAAGTAAGAAGGCTTTGACCCAAAATAAAATTAAAATTACGTAATTAGACGAGAATCGAATTTAAAAGGCCATCACTTACAAACAAACACGAATACTATCAAACAATTTAAAATTTTTAAAATGAAAGGAAGCTTACACGGCGTTTAAACGTACGCCGGAATGGCGGGAACCAACGGTTGAAGCTTCTTCTTCAACCAAGACCTGCAAAAACCATCAGATTCTACAAATGCAGTCGCTGAAAATACCCAAAATTCAAGAGATCGATGAGGTTCCACTTCTACAAAGAACCCACAAAAACCCTTACCCAAGTCGCCACTAAGCAGATCCTCAAACTGAACCAAACGCTCGCCAACCTCACGCGCTCGCACCGTTACTCAGAGGCCCTCCAGCTTTTCACCCAAATCCACTCCTCTCCGTCCGTAGGACCGGACCACTACACGCTCTCATCTGCCGTCACCGCCTGCGCCAATTGCCGCGACGTTGCTTTCGGAACCCAACTCCATGCCCACGCCATCCGGACTGGCCTTAAAGCCTACCCTCACGTAGCCAACACCCTGCTCTCGCTCTATGCGAAAGCCGAAGACTTGACTTCTGTGAAATGGGTCTTCGACGGGATTGAAAACCCAGATGTTTATTCGTGGACCACGCTGTTTTCGGCTTGTACAAAATTGGGGCATGTGGATTATGCCTGTGAGGTGTTTGATAAAATGCCCCAAAAGGGTAGTGTGGCGATTTGGAATGCGATGATTACCGGGTGTGCGGAGAATGGGTTTGATGTGGTTGCTATTGATTTTTTTTGTGAAATGCATAGGATGGGTGTTATGCATGATAATTATGGTTTTGCTAGTGTTTTGAGTTTGTGTGGTTTGGGGCTCTTAGGTTTTGGGAGGCAGGTGCATTCTTTAGTGCTTAAAACCGGGTTTTTGGGTAGAAGTTCTGTTGTTAATGCTCTGATAACTATGTATTTTAACTGCAGAAGTGTTTCGGAGGCATTTGATTTATTTGAAGAAGCGGAAGGTGCAATATATGATCAGATTACTTTTAATGTGATGATAGATGGTTTGGTGAGTGCCGGAAGAGATAAAGAAGCTTTGGAAATGTTCAAATTGATGCAAGAGGCATGTCTTAGGCCTACCGAGCTGACTTTTGTAAGTGTCATGACCTCATGTTCAACTGCAAGAGTTGCCAACCATGTACTTGCCCAAGCTGTTAAGTCGGGTTTCGAAACTTTTACTTCTGTGAGCAATGCAGCAATAACCATGTATTCTGGTTGTGGGGATTTGCATGCTGCTTACCAGGTTTTTCAGACATTGGAGGAGAAGGATCTCATATCATGGAACACCATGATCTCAACTTATGCTCAAGGGAATGACAGTAAATTAGCCATCTTGGTCTACCAGCAAATGCAGAGGGCAGGGGTCAAACCAGATGAGTTTACTTTTGGAAGTTTGTTAGCAAGCTCGGAGTTGATTGAGATCGTGCAAATGGCTCAAGCCCTTGCACACAAAAATGGGCTTATCCTTAAGATCTACGTTTCAAATGCATTGGTATCTGCATATGCTAAGCTGGGTCTGATTGATCTGGCCTATCCAGTATTCGAAGATATCGAGTCCAAAAATTTGATCTCCTGGAATGCTATTGTTTCCGGATTCCTGTTGAATGGATTGGTAAAAGAAGGGCTAGAGCAATTTTCTAATCTACTAATGTCAGAACACAGGCCAGATGTGTGTACCTTGAGTATTATTTTGAGCATTTGTTCAAGCACATCAGCCTTGAAAGACGGAAAACAAGTTCATGGCTACATTCTCAAATTTGGGTTTTCGCATCAGATGTGCTTAGGCAATGCCCTCATCACCATGTACGCTAAATGCGGGGTTATACATTGGTCCGTAAGAGTTTTCAATGCAATGACTCAAAAGGATACAGTCTCTTGGAATTCCCTGATAGCTGCTTATGCACAGCATGGGAAAGGAAATGAAGCTGTGCGCTGTTTTGAGGCAATGCAAGACGCATCTGCAGTCAAACCAGACCAGGCCACCTTTACGGCAGTCCTTTCCGCTTGCAGCCATGCTGGTCTAGTTGTTGATGGTACCCGAATTTTCAATTCCATGATTCGTAATTATGGCTTTATACCTGAAGTTGATCACTTTTCATGTATAGTTGACCTTCTAGGTCGTGCTGGGTATCTTGATGAGGCGGAAACTGTAATAAACAGCAAGCAAATTGAAGCACATCCAAACATTTGGTGGACACTAATCAGTTCTTGTGCAGCACATGGAAATTTAAGGCTAGGACGAACAGTTGCTGGGTTTCTCCTTGAAACTGAACAAAATAATCCAACAGTTTACGTGCTTCTGGCCAGTATTTATGCAGCTGCTGGTCAATGGGAAGAAGCAGCTAATGTGAGAGAATTGATGAACAGAACTCGGGTTCCGAAGATTCCTGGATTGAGTTGGATTAAGTCATAAAAACATGCAGGGTCAACTGGAAACCAAACCAAGCCTCGTTGTGCCATTCTACAGTACTAATCATAGTTGGAAGCCTTACAAGATTCATTTATTTGACACTCAGCACTGCCATTGATGAAGTTAATGCTTCCGTGATCAACGAATGAAGACGTAGCAGTAAAAAGGTAAGCTGAACCGACAACTCTTCCCATCGTCTCTCAGTCCAGTGTTCATCTATAAATAATGCACAGAATGTAACACAAATATGTAACGTATATTTCTTCATATTGTTTTCAATTCAAACATCTCACATATACTTTTACATTTCTTTTTTCTAGCCATACCACTATAAGATGTACATATTTGGAAATAATGATACAATTCATTAGGGAAAATACAATTGGATTTCCTCTTTATCTATCGTTAACAAGAAAGAATTTGCAGGTACCGACTGGTTTATCTCGACTCTTGACAGCAACAAGTCCGAAGCATGCCACTGCCTTGCTCTCCCCCATCATTTTCTGTAGCTTACTCGGCAGGAGGAGCTCTATGATGAGCTGGAATGGTAGCTGGAAAGAACATCTGTCTCACTCCTTCAGCCTTGATGATGGGAAATATTATACCCGATGCACTCTGACAAAAAGAAAACGCTCTTTGTTAAGAACCAGAGAAACTGATTGAAATCATGTATACTACTATGACGGCCGTAGCATCTGCTCAGTTGGAAAATTAGGTATCTACTATCTAGCTTATACGGAAGTTCATTTAGAAAGCTTTGCCTTGAGATCCAAGGTACTGGTAAGAACCAACCAAATGGCTTCACATTGTGTACAATTTTGTTCGCATAATGAAATTCCGTTGTTTGATTAGAAGTCATCGATATCAAATGAGTCATTTGTCATTTTAGGCCAGGAAGAAAAACATGATTCAGCATTCTATAATCATCTAGGAAAAGTTAAGGGGAAAAGAAAAACCCACCAAAAGTAATCTAGCTCCAATCCACACGCGTCTCGGTGAAGGAAATGGTAGTAGCAAACGACCAACACCGTATACCGCCACAGCAAAAAAATGAAGAACTAAATTCAACGGACAAGGATTTAGACCAGAGAGCAAAGCCACTGGTCCGGTTGAACAGGCACCTCCAAGGCTTAGGTAGTCAAAACAAGCTTGGCGCATCTCCGTCCTTGCTTCATCAGGGGAGGTGGAGAACACTTTGTATAGGGCACCTGCCAAGGTATTTATCGTAGATGCAACCGGCTGCGAAAACAACGCTAAATATCAGTAGGATGAATATGTGATAATAACATCTCTAATACAAGCAATGCAACCTTGAAATCAATTGTTTTGCAGCCAAACAAGAAACGGAATTGAAACAGTTCGATTTAGCAAAGTATAAAAGGATTATGCACATCGATATTAAACCGGCACCCATGAGCAACAGAGCTTACCTTGCGCAAGGTATAAAAGGATTCTAGGTATGTGCACAACGAAGCTGCATCATGTAGGTTCCGCAGCGGCTTAAGAAGATCCTTGAGTACAACAATATCAGAAAGTGCCACAGTCATTCCTCCGCCGGTTAAAGGATGGCGCATATTGAAAGCGTCACCCAGCAAAAGGGCTCCTGGAGTTGGCTGAGGATTAGCTGGCATGCTTCTGTTTGGCATTGTTCTAATATTTCCCTTATCAATTGCAGCAACAAAGGCATCATGAAGTTCCGGTGGAACCTGAAACAGACATTTTCTTCGTTAATTCAAAATAGAAGAAGCCGGCTCAGCCCAAAAAGGAACAGAAACTACTGTCGAAACAATAGGATCAATCAAAATGTTTCAATGTTTGAACTCAAGACCCCTAATTTTGAAACCGAAAGGTACCTGTGGAGCCACCGCAGTCTTCAAGTAGTTAGCCATTGCACCATTGGCAATGGGAGGTACCCTTTGGCCGGGCACATCAACCAAACAGCGGACCTCTGTACTGCTGATTTGATAAAACAGGATCGGAGAGGGATCCGCTAGAATAACATGCCCATGATTTGCAAATGGGAGTTTGCAATTTTCCAAGATTAATCCTACGAAACAAGAGGGCACTTCTACCTGCAAAAAAAAGTAGATCGATACCATCTTTGTCAATGTAGGAAGTGCGGGTTCAAACAGAAATCTGACTGTTCCAGTTAAAGCTTTCTGCAAGTGTATCGGCATCCTAATCAAACAACGTAATCGTTGTATTAGAGATTTGAAGAAGCAACTTTACCTGAGGCTTGCAAAGAGTGCGGCGCAGATTTGAGAAGCAACCATCACAAACAATCGTAAGAGGAGCGTGCGCTTGAAGTTCTTGACCATCCTTGGTTTTATATCGAACCCCCTTAATTGTCCCATTTACTTCAAGCAGGGACGTTACAGTACCTTGCTCCAGTTGTACACTTAAAAGAAAACAAGACACAAGAGGATGCAAGGGGGTCAAGCATCGCTGCATTAGGAAAACGGAACATTCACTGAAAAAATGCGGATAATTTACATGAAACCAAACATCATGGACTCAAGCACGACAGCATAAGCATTCAAATGAGGAGGCAAGAAACTTACTTGGGAAGCTTTGCAGCTTTTTGCCTCATCCTCTGTATGAATCGGCCATTGTGGAAACTTCTCCCCGCCACATCGGAGTGGAACTGTTCCAGAGGATAGGTCAGCCGAGTGTTCTTCCCATCCTTAAAAAGAACATAACCGACCACTCGCTGAGCATCGATTTCCTCCACACAATCTGAAACCAATGCTCATACATGTTACTGTTATTGTCAGATTTCGCAACCGAAACCAATACTAAGAAAAGCAGCATATTCAACATTTAAAATTCAAAAATCCAACTTAAATAAGAAGAAGAACAACAAAAAAACAGACACTCCAAGAATTAGCAACTTTTATTACCTTCAAGACCCAACTCCATCAATTTGAGGTACCCTCCTGGCTGGAGAAGCTCGCCGACGATTCGATCTGGCTCCGTCAAGTCTCTTTCAATCACATGAACATGTCTTCCCTCCTGGGATTAGCAACAGATAAGTAAAACATTCTACATTTCTACATCGAGCACATTTACATGTCAGTCTTGAATCTTGATGATGAACCGTCGACTTTTTATTTATTTGCAAAGTTGATAAAAGTAAAATAACAAACAACAACAAAAAAAAAAAAAAAAAAAAAAACTTGCGTACAAAGTTACAAACAACAGTTGCGTCATCAACTTCAACTTTTCTAAGTGCATGGCATGCCAAGATCGTGACTTCTCAATCGGTCAGTTAACAGTAGTATTCACAACACAAAAAGGGAAAAAAACAAGCTTTCTGAATCCGACACGCTACGTCACCCAGATTCACAAACAACCACACAAGTTGATAATTGCCCAAAAAATAATAATAAATATAATCAAAACCTTAATTTGGTTTTCTTTTACCTTGGCGAGGGTAAGGGCGAGGGCAGCGCCAGCAACGCCGGCGCCGACGACGATTACATCGGTGCCGGAGCCGTGAATTGGGGGGAATTCTCCGTCGTCAGAGCTGTTGATGCTTTTATCCTGAACGATCGTCGTATTACTCTTGTTCTTCTGAGCATTGCTCTTGGCGTGGTCGGAATTCCGGCGACGGAGAACAGAGAGAGCCAGAAAACCTAAGAGGGAGGCGAAGAAGGTCCAGAGAACGTACGGATCAACCGCCACAGTTGCCGCCATCTTAGAAGAAAACCCAGATGAGAAAGAAGAAGACCCAGATGAGAAGGAAGAAGGCCCAGATGGAGAAGGCGGCGACCCAGATGAAGAAATGCGGGAGTGGGTGCAACTAGTAATGTTGGGCTTTCTTCTGGTTCTGGTTCTGGTTTTGGAATTATGGGAGGAGAGAGAGATTGGAGGTAGATGATGAGGGATGTGAATTTGAAATTGATTGGTGTGGATGCGGATGGAGGAGGAGGGATGTGGGTGTGGGTATGGGCATGGGCGTGGACGTGGACGTGGGGGGTTTTGTAGGAGCATTTTTGGGTTGGTTGGGTGAGGAATTGAAGGCTCATTATGTGTGTGTGATTACGGAATGTGCTCTCGTGTTGTCATTTGGAGCTCCAAGAATTCCGTGTCCCTGAGAAACTAACTCGGAGTTGGAAAGAGAAAACGATAACGAAATCCCAGTTCCTAATCCCTCGAATTCATCGCTTCGGAGCTTTCCAGTTGTGGAGAGGATAGGGATTGCCGCCGGTGGCTGGGGCAGTTGGCGGGGTTGGGTGGCTGAGACCGTGAGAGGATAGATGGCTCGGTTTCTTGTGTTTTTTCTTTTTTTTCTTTTTGGGTAAAGGGTTACTCTATCACTAAAACACAACATAATTACATAAACCATACAACAAGCAATAGTTGGATTTAGGGTTTGTTGTTTTGTTTTCCTTTTAAATTTTTAATTTTTCAGACTTTTTTAATTCGTCTCTTGTTAAAATTCTATTATGTTGATGATAGGTGTCATTATGTATAAATTATATGACAATGCATTAGTGACTGAAACGTTACAATAACAATGAACTCACCCAAAGTTATTCTCTTAAAAAAATGCAATTTTTAGACTTGTATTATTTAATTTTTAGGAAAAGATTAGAAAAGAAAGACTTGTCCATTAAAGAAAATAAAATATTAGTTGTCCAAGTTTGTAGAACATAGGAATTAGTGGCATCATACTATTACTAACCACAAAAATGAATTCACATAGTTCTGAAATATTAAATATTTGAGAGGTGCCCCTAACAAAAAAAATGTAATTTTGTTTGGTTTAAGTTCATTAGTATGCCAAAAAATTCATTAACCTCTTACTAATTAAGAAAATTTTAACTAAAACTAGCAAATTGTACCCTTACGGGTGTGCTTCATAGAGGTTAAATAAATTTACTTGTTTTTTATTTTTAAATAAGACTTGATACGTGTACATGATTGTGAGAGTGGCGTAAAAATAGTAAAATTCATGTTATTATGTAATTATTAAATTGTCCGCACTTTTAATTTTCTTCAGTTTTGAGGAGATGATTAAAATTATAATTTCATAGAATTTCAGTTGACAAAGAGATTAATAACTAGTATGTATAATATCCTAGTGGATGAGTGTGAGTTTCCACCCATGCCTCCAGAATTCGAAATTCCTCTTTCTCCTAAATAATTATTATAATTTTGAATTATCTCCCTCCTGTTAATAATAATAAAATTATAAAAAATAAAAAATAATCCTTTTGAAAAGAAAAGTAGTATAGATAATTCTAATATCATAAAATCATATTAACTGAAAATTAAAGTTCCTAAAAGAAGAAGGGCCAAATCGTAAAAGCATGCAGCTTTTTTAGTTGGGCAGTCCACGCATACTACCATTCGAGCCTAACTCAACACAAAAGAAAAATAGAGAAACAATTTCGATACTTTATTTTATTTTATGTTTTGTAATTATTTTTTATTTATTCAATACAAACACTAGTCTTCTCAAAAAAAAAAATACAAATACTGGTAGAGTCAAATACAAGGCTCCAATGGGCAAAGCATAGAAGAAGTTTTAGTTCTTTTTTTTCTTTTTTTCTTTTTTTTTTTTTTATTTTTTTATTTTTTATTTTTTTTTTTGAGGAAATTGGACTTTCATAAAATCAGGGCAAAAGCCAAATTACAAGGAGAGAGCCACAAAGGCTGACAGAAACCAACAACGAGAAGGCAAGAGGGATGTAAGGGTTACAAGACGTAGTCGAGCACCGGCAAACACGTCAATCCAATGCTTTCGAACCAAAACAACCTACGGGGAGCATGAGAGACTGTCCTTGTTAAGGATTCCCACAAGCAAGGATGGAGGTCTTTCGACCCACACATAACTGCGCAACAAAGTCGCGTAGCATTTGCTGATCTTAAGATCCAAGACCAAGTACAAGCCTGGAAAGAACTTCCCAAAGCCAAGACACGACTTAGAATGGGGAGAACTTCCCAAGGAGTACAATTCAAGCCAGCATTAAGATAGGATATCACCCGCTTTAAATCAAATTCAACAACAATTTAGAGCTTGTTCTTTCATCGAGCAAGGGCACACCCCTCCCAAATCGCCATGGATTCCACCATAAGAGCACTTGAAGCAATAACTTCCACCCGAGCCACCTTGATGCATCTGCAGTGGGCATCATGGATAACAATGCCCGCAAAACCCCGAGAATCCCCCGACATCCAACTGGCATTGACATTGACCTTAACCAAATTTGGATGACGAATGCAAGCAGTGCATTGCCAAATAGAAGCAATCAAACGCGATTCTGATGGCAGTAATTGTATTTAAGGGCGACAGTTGGTGTTGTTCGAAGAGTGTCATGCACCTGGATCTCCAAATGAACCAGCAGGAGAATGCAACCAGTGTGAGAGACCTCGCCCTCTCCAATTTAGATCCATATTTCCCATTTCCCATCCCGAGAAGCCAAGCATCAAACGATGAAATGAAATTCCAGTCCAATCGAAAACCAAGAGGGCCACCAAACCAAACTGCTTCCACCCATGGGCATAGAATAAGGAGGTGTTCAGTTGACTTGTCATGTTTGCTGCAGATTGGACATGTAAGGGAAGGGGAGCATCTTCTTCGAAACAAGTTCCGGAAGTGGCAATAGCACCACGAACTCTACGCCACATAAAGTTTCACATCTTGGGAGGCGCCTGTATTCCCCAAATCAACTTCCAAACATTCGAGTTAATTGATTCAATAAGACCTACACGAGGTGGTCTTTGCCCAAGGATCCATTGATAACCTGATTTGACCGTGTATCTCCCCATTTTCTCTTTTTGCCAAACCAGACAGTCAGGCCTTTCGGGATCACCAAAATGAGAACTCTCAATTGCCATTTTATATGTCGTCGAGATGACATTACAAATAGGATCCAACTATCATGCACAAGCCTCGTGATTGATAATTGACTCCAAAGTCACTGCGCCATTACCAATGGGAATAGGTTGACCAACCGCAATACGTAGGACCTAGAGGTCTTTCCATAGTCAAACTTGCCTACCATTGAGAACCCTTCATAATTACATCTCGTCCTTCCATAATACTATACCAGATCCATGAAGCTCAACCTCCCTTTTTAGCCTCCAAGAACGAGGAATTTGGGAAATACCGATCTTTAAAGACCCAAGCCCATAATGAATTAGGCTCCTGGATAAGACACCAACTCTGTTTGGCAAGAAAAGTGAGGTTGAAGTCCCCAAAGTTCTTAAACCCTATACCGCCATCACACTTGGGCATCCCCATGCCCCGCTAATTAACCGAGTGGATGCCCCGTGCCTTATCAGAATTTGCCCACCAGAATTTCGCGATTGCCCCGTCAATATCTTTGCAAAGCCTATCCGGGAAACAGAAAACGTTCATTGGGTAAGTTGGCACCGCCTGAACCACTGCCTTAATCAACACCTCACGACTGGCCTGTGAAAGAACTTTGTTCTTTCACCCTTGAATTTTCGACAATACCCGATCCTTAATATAAGACAGAGTCACCATCTTAGTCTTACCCCACCCCGCTAGGATTCCAATGTAGGTGATCCTTCACCCTTGTCATGTTCAAAATCCCACATAGCTCATCCTAAACAGACGGGGGTGTATTAGCATTGAAATGCACAACCAGTTTTTGGGTGCTGACCTCCTGCCCTGAGGCGTGACAATAGGTCTTCAGCAGCCTATCCACATTCTCACAATTTCACCTTGATGTCAACAAGAAAATCAGGGTATCATCCATTAATAATAAGTGAGATAATGTAGGATCGTGGGCGTTAATCCTAATTCTTTCAATAACACCCGTCTCAGAAGCATGCATGAATAACCGGGACAAGACTTCGCTGATGATAAGGAATAAATATGGGGAGATTGGATCCCCCTAGAGAAGGCCATGAGTCGGCCTAAAGCAATCACCCTGACTTCCATTCAGTAACACCGAAAACTCCACAGTCGTGACATAACTCATAATAAGCCCCACCCACAATCATCTAAACCCCATTTGGCTTCAAGAAAGTCTCATTCAACTCTATCGTAGGCCTTGTTCATGTCCAGTTTGATGCCAAGCTCGAACTTCCTCTTGGTCTTTCGGAGCTTGAGGAAATGGAATACCTCGTGGGCGATGACGATGTTGTCCAGTATTTGGCGGCCTCCCACAAAAGCATTTTGGCTTGGTGAGATGATCGTGGGAAGGAAGGGCTTTAGTTGGTTGGCAAGAATTTTTGAAAGCATCTTTAAACTTACAAATACTAATCATCTAGGTTATTTTATGATTTTAATTGTCGCAACCCACCTATCAAATGAAAAGTCTAAATCCTATATCTATTTTTAGGGAAAATAAGAGGTTTTTTTTTTTTTTTTTTAACAAACGATGTTATACACTAAGAGAGAAGAGGTGGGTTATACACTAAGAGAGAAGATGTGAGCTTAGCTTTACAATGAACTAGCAATAATGTGGTTCAAATTCGTTTTTGGCAAGAATCGAATCTAAGACCTCTTACTTACAAATGAAGAGAAATACAACTAGACCGTAGTACTAAGTGGCAAAAAAATAAGAGTTAAATAAACTCATCACTTTAACCATGCTAAAATTTAATAATAATAAATTAAAACTTCTATACTTACTTTATTCATTTGAAATTTTAAAGGCTAGAAGCCTAGAAAAAAAAATTATAAATTTCTTAGTTCAAATTATTAATTTCAGGTTTGTTATATAACTTTATGTAAGTAACAAAAAAAAATTAAGCATTTGATTTCATAGTGATAATTTTAACTTAGCCCACCCACCAAATAATTTCTGGTTCCGCCATTAAATACAAATGTTAAAGATCAAGATGAATGCGTAAGGAAGGAGAAATAACAGTGTGAAAATCATTTCTTAAAAATGTGTCAATTTATTATCAAATTGTTCCTAAAATAGCAAGTGTCATGCAGTAAACAAATTTTTGTAACATGTCTTTTTTCGTTTTTGGATTGGATTGTATACAACTTATTTGACGAGTATTTGTCATTAATAGCAAAATTTAACACCCAATTTTATAAATGTCACTTTTTATTATAAAAAAATTCAAATATAACGAAAAAATCATGTGAATTGACCTAAAACCCCTCAAAATTCAAAACCCATTTACACAAAAAAGTCTCATTGAACATGGAAGGTCAATGGAATTCTGGTGGATGTTGTAAAGAAGTAACTCAACCGCTCCAAACTTTGAGCTCGTCTTACTCCGAAAATAATAGAATTATAGAAGAGGTCATAAAGCAGATGAAAACTCTTGTGAAATTCTTGTACATGGCTTGTCCGAATACAAAATTGATGGTCATCCATCCATATATGGAAGAAATTCAAGAAAGTCGGGGATTCAAGATGCAGTCACCGGTGTCTTCCTGGCATTCCTGATGCCTGCAAAGAATTGTTGTTTCTCCATTTGC